AAATTACTCTATTTTTTTCAAAAGGAATACGATGGGAATAGCTGATCAGTCTAATTATTTATGATAATGTTGTACGGCAACTAAGATATATATAATGTATACCGAAAACGGTTTCCTTAAGTTCCCCAGATAAACAAACATTTTAATTCATTTTTCTATACTTAAAAAAATATATTTAAATCTTGTCTAAAATAAATTCTTTGAATTTCATTAAAAAATTTAGTTGCTATGCTTAAGTTAAATCGGTTAAACTTTTGACCTCATTATTATCATAAATGTGTATGCATTGATTTAAGTGCTTATTTATGATATGTATTATTATTATTATTATCATCATCAATATAATTATGTTTATAAACGCATACTTTTTAATCCATTAATATTGTGTGAATAAGTGAATCTTTGTATGAAATACACAATTTAAGTGGTTAGATTGAACGATCGGTGGACAAAATTTCACTTGTTTAAATTACAAAAATTTACCGAGAAAAATCAATAATCATTATAATTATTATGATAATAATAATAATAAATACTTTGTTCAATATTTGAATAAATGATGATTCAAGAGTTTGTATAAATATTTATGTATATCGGAATCTATCATCAGGTGTGTTACATATGTCCATATACTCGAATTATATATGCATACACCAATAATAAAGGAGGGGTGGAAGAATGTAAAAAGAGGGGAACGATTAATATATACATATAAAATAGTGTTAAAAAAAATAAATACGTCGATCATATTTAAGTAACAAATAGAAAAATTTCATTCTTACTACAAACAGGAGAGAGCTACACAAGATTTGAATTTTCGAAAAAAATATTAATAATTCTATAAAATATTATCAGCTACTGAAAATAGAACTTTAATTGACCATACTATTATATATAAATGCTTGTATGAATGTACGTATATATGTATACATTTTTAAATATAAGAACAAGTGAACAAATATAGTCAAATAATTGTTTATTTATGTAAACAAAACATTTACAAAGGCTTCTTCAGTTTACTATTCGACTAGTTAATATCATAAGTGATGAGTTAGTTATTTGGTTGTTGTAGAAAACTAATATAAACATGAACATGTATGTTTTCATGCTTTCAAACACTGTCATATATATATATATATATATATATATATATATATATATATATATATATATATATATATATATATATATATATATGCCTCAACTGACTCATGATTTAAATCTGTGAAAATTTCTAAAATCTCCACAAACCCCTTCTGATAATAAACATCTGCTCACTAGTGACTGACTTCAAGAGATACTCCTGGAGTTCTAGTGGGAAGCCGTTACCAGTGGAGTTCAACCAGGTCTGTTGTGAGATATCAGCTCACTGAAGACAATGGTATATGGTGGCGCAACTTCGTGGATTGGTTGAAGTTAGACATTAACACCGTTGGATGCCGGCTCAGTGGTCTAATGGTTAAGTGCTCGCGCGCGAAGCCAGTAGGTCCTGGGTTCGAGCCCCGCGTGGTGCGGGATCGTGGATGCGCACTGCTGAGGAGTCCCATACTAGGACGAAACGGCCGTCCAGTGCTTCCAGGTTTTCAATGGTGGTCTAGCCTCAACTGACTCATGATTTAAATCTGTGAAAATTTCTAAAATCTCCACAAACCCCTTCTGATAATAAACATCTGCTCACTAGTGACTGACTTCAAGAGATACTCCTGGAGTTCTAGTGGGAAGCCGTTACCAGTGGAGTTCAACCAGGTCTGTTGTGAGATATCAGCTCACTGAAGACAATGGTATATGGTGGCGCAACTTCGTGGATTGGTTGAAGTTAGACATTAACACCGTTGGATGCCGGCTCAGTGGTCTAATGGTTAAGTGCTCGCGCGCGAAGCCAGTAGGTCCTGGGTTCGAGCCCCGCGTGGTGCGGGATCGTGGATGCGCACTGCTGAGGAGTCCCATACTAGGACGAAACGGCCGTCCAGTGCTTCCAGGTTTTCAATGGTGGTCTAGCCTCAACTGACTCATGATTTAAATCTGTGAAAATTTCTAAAATCTCCACAAACCCCTTCTGATAATAAACATCTGCTCACTAGTGACTGACTTCAAGAGATACTCCTGGAGTTCTAGTGGGAAGCCGTTACCAGTGGAGTTCAACCAGGTCTGTTGTGAGATATCAGCTCACTGAAGACAATGGTATATGGTGGCGCAACTTCGTGGATTGGTTGAAGTTAGACATTAACACCGTTGGATGCCGGCTCAGTGGTCTAATGGTTAAGTGCTCGCGCGCGAAGCCAGTAGGTCCTGGGTTCGAGCCCCGCGTGGTGCGGGATCGTGGATGCGCACTGCTGAGGAGTCCCATACTAGGACGAAACGGCCGTCCAGTGCTTCCAGGTTTTCAATGGTGGTCTAGCCTCAACTGACTCATGATTTAAATCTGTGAAAATTTCTAAAATCTCCACAAACCCCTTCTGAAAATTTAATAAAGACTTAAACAACAACTTACATTTTTGGTAATATCATAGTAACAAGAGATGAACGTTTTCAAATTTAAGTTTCGAAAAAAAGACGATGAAAATATGATTTAGATAAGATACTACCACTATTACTATTATTGAATTAACTAAGAATTATTGTTTACACCATAATAAATGTCAATTTAATACTTGCTTAATACATACAAGACTGTGAAAAAACGCTTATTTTAATTTATTGTTTGAAATTTTCAATGGTTAGTTTTTTATTGCGTATACTTTATCTAGAATGGATAGTTGTTCTGTACGTAAGGATTAAGAATTCACTTTAGATGAAATGAAATTTAAGATAAATTTTCTATCTTAATTATAATCATATACTCATGAGTAAGTAGTTTCTAGAAGCATTTTAGGTGAGTTCTGATGTGAAATTGTAACTGGTTAACTTCGAATATACCATCAATGGATTCTTTGATTCTGGGCCAGAAAGTAGTCTAAAGGTAAACTGCCCTTGCTGCAAGATCTGTAGACGGTTCATTCGTGAGACTTAGTTGATAATCATTTAGTTACAATAATATCTTATTAATGACTCACGTGCATTTGTATGTGAATTGGACTTACGTATGTAAACTTACGATAATTATTACTAAATAAGATGATTTTGTATGAACCTAAGTCATTTTAACAAGACAGAAAATTAACAAGGTGAGAAGTTTAGTAAATAGACTAAATCTAATTCCGATAGAATAAAATGAAATTTAAACGAAGGTAAATAATAAATACAACTGACTTCATTGTGACCAACTTTGAAATCATGTCACCCATTGCCTTTCTGATGATGGACTACAAATATTTTGTATATTCGTGTGGAAGTCGAAATCTACTGACAAGTCTTTTGTCAACAGTCAATATTTGTGTAGATTGATACAATATATTGGCGATATTGTAATAAATAGATTCTGAGATTTTTGTACTACAAAGTTTTACTGATTGACGAATATGACAACAATAGTTTAAAGCAATTAGTCACTTTGATAGATTTAATGATTCTATGCTTGTATGTAAATCAGGCTTTGATTTGTGACATTAATAAAATTCAATTTTTTCTGGGATTTTGACTTGCTGAAAATTAGTTTTTATCAGTTTCCCTGGTTTGGAATTCCTGGAAATTGTTCCCTTCTATACTGAATACAACATAAAATTTACTAAACTGCGTATATACTGTGCAGTAGCCTACCTGCATTACTTTATGGTTGTCAAAGACAGATGTCGATGTTAGAAGACGTGTGTAGGCTGCAGTTTTTTGATAATAGGTTTCTTCGAAGCACCTCTTGTATTCTTGTGAAAGGATCGAGTTAACAATGTTGAGGAATAAGGTGGGGACTCAATTGATGGGGCTGTAAATCTTCATCGATCGCAGGAGTTATGATATGTGGTTTGCAGGCCTACTAACTACCCAGCTCAATAATTGATACTTGAAAGCCCAGAAATAAATGCGAAAAACAAAACAAAGGTTTAGACCTTAGCATCGGTCATTGTGGAACTGGCCCAGATTGATTGATTTTGACCAAATGGTTTATGTCGACGCGTCAACTGTGGTTGGAGACTTGGAGTGTTATGGCTGAGAGGCATTTATTCTTTCTTCCTCACAACCTTAAATTATAATATTCTCCCATACATACCTTTCCACTACGTCATTTTGAACCCAATTCTTAATGTATTGTCTTCATCATGATCATTGCTACTGTATTATTTCTATCTCTTGTTATCTCTATCTTGTCTAGTTAATTTGGTATTGTAAGTTAGGCCTACGCAAATCTATGCCAAACCATCTATTGATATGAACTGCTAACTGGCTACAGAACTGGTGGTCAATACAATATTATTTTAGCCGATAAATCAAAGTTAAACAGTTCTAATTTTTTTGACTTCAGTCAACCACCTTAGTACCTATTCACTGTGTTTACTTATAGTATATTTTTTGATAGATTTCCCTCAATATTTAAGTATGAAACTGTGACTTGTCAAATGAACCAAATGTAAAAGGTGTGATAGTTATTCATAGAATTGAACTGTACAAATGGACTAAAATATTTAACTGATCTTCACGAATTGTAAAGGAATTCATCTTCAAAAATATATTGTCTATTATTAACTAAATTGAATTAGTCTACTTTTGGTCACCTAGTAAGTATTTTTTAACAATTCAGTTATTTATAAAATCCAATCATGACTGGATTGTAGATTACTATGAAAAGCTAGTGACGATTGCTAATAACCTAAATAAACTGATACACTTAATAACCAAGTTTAAATTTATGCACTTGATTTTAATATATACATTTTATATTATGCGGACTAATATAACTATTTGGTCTGTCTGAATTGAAGCAAACAAAAGAAATAAACACGGTTTGAGTACATGACCTAATCATTGACTTCGATTGTTTTAATTATTGGCGTATCCGTACAGTAACTTTATAATGACCAACTCATATTTGACAAGGAATACCAATATTTCAAGTTTATTCATATACTTACTGGAATTAATTTTCTCCGCATACATGTCAGATTGGTTACAAAGACAATTATTAAAATTAACTGATTTTGTATCTATATTTGGTTGATTTAATTGTTCATAAAATTGATTATTTTCTGTATTATTTACTCTGATAGTATTTGTCATGATATTATTCATTTGTTCAGATGAATTTTTTACCGTTCGATCCCATTGGTCGGAATGCTCTTGTACAAGGTCATGGCTCGGTAAAGGCATATTTTCTCTTTCATTCATCTTGTTGCCGTCTTGATGCTGAATATTGACATAATCATTATTATCTTCAATATTATTCATCTTTCTACTATTATTATCATTACCAATATGATTTAGTGATATAGATTCATTTGGAGTAACATAATTAGTTAGTGTGTTACTCATTATATTATTTGTATTTTCATTATTACAATAATCCAAAGTAACCGGTGATGATGAATAATGTGACACAATCATTGTTGAGTTCGCATGATTACATGAAGTCGGAATTTGTAAAAATGATATTGGTAGTCTGGTATTAATAAAATTATTATTATAAGAGAATGAATTGATTATATTAGGATTATCATTTTGTATCAAATTTTCATGAATGGAAGGATAATTGTACGGAATCGATTGCATATGATGGAAGTGATCATTAGATGAATCAGGATTCTCTCGATTACTACGGTGATAAGCATTTTCACACCATGTTTGTATCCACATTTGTTGATCTTTATTGGTTAAAACGTAGATTTGCAAAAATTCTGAACGTTTTTTATTCTGTTAGTCTAAAAAGTAAATAAAAATATTGTTTAGATAAGTTTATCACTAAATCATTTATACTTGTTTCAAGGAAATGAAATAGCATCTGCTGAGGATTATTGTATCAGTGAGGAAAAGCAAACTATTCTAATAGACAGTTTCCTGTTTTACTCATTTTATTTTTTGTTATCGAAACTCTTAAGATGGAGAACAAAATTTTCAGTTATTTAGCTCAAATATCATTTTCAAACAAAGAATATTCTTTACTAGTTAAGCAACTTTCATACTGAAGATGAAAAATTCATTTGTATATTATTTTCAGTAAGTCTATGAAGTTTAGAGTGAATTATTGTTCATTTTCGGAACATTATTACTAATATATTACTTTTAAAAAGAAAAAGATAATAATAAGAACGTTTATGGTTGATTGTTGAATAGACTTACATGTTCTAAAATCACGTAAGTTTTGTTAAATAATTATTTCTAACATTATCATTCTCAAAAATAAACAAAATACGCTTCAATATTCGATTGGTTATTTTAGCAATTTTTAGAGCCAATCAAATTTTACCCATTCAAAAAATGTTATTAATATACCCCTATAGATGTTTATTTATTTCCGTTAATCTGATTGGTCTTTTGATAAGCATAAAAAGTAGTACATTTTAGATGACTAGTTTTCAATTCTATTTTTTTCTCAGAAAATGTTTTAATTTTAACACGAACTGTTAAGGTATCTCAGATAACTCGGTGAAAACAAATTTATTGTCTAAAATAAACGTTTCAGAGACGTTAATAACTAGACGCGCGCTATTTAAAAAGGACAGTGGTATTTTTCCTCGCTGAGTAAATTTCATTGTTTTGATCGTTTATTACGTATCAAGACTACTGTTTTTCACTTTAATTGAATTTATTTCAGTTAAAGTATTCGACTAAAGTATCGTTTTTACTGTTTTGTCGTTGGTACTCTTTAGTACCTCTTTTTCAACTGTATCTGTTAGTACTTTTGGTCCTAGCAATCTACAGCTCTTCACTTTTTTTGGTCATTGATAATTTTTTTGTTTCTGGGTATCATCGCATATTGAAAAAACCCCTCCTAAATGACCGGACAGTGTAAAAAAAGCAGTTGCCAACGTCCGGGTTGTCGTTATCCTGTTGAAAGCGGCATGCAGTGCGACGAGTGCAAAGGCTGGTACCACGAAGTTTGCACGAACTTAACGCCTGCTGCTTTCAAACGGTTCAGTAAGAAGGGTTGTGTGTGGCTTTGTCAACAGTGCTGCTCGGATGCAAACAGCTTGTTAACCGAGGCCATCTCACTGGTTGATGCTGCAAAGAAGTGTTTTAACAAGCATAGTCGGAACGCGTCAAACAGCACTCGATCTGCTGACATGCAAATCAATGTGAAGGAAACTAAGGTGAGTCCGGTGATAGATGACTCACACCCGTCAAAGAAGGAAAAGCAGTCTCCAAAGGGGCCTGCCTTAAAAAAAAGCTCAAGAAAAGTAGGGTCTTCTGTTCCCCGTCTCCCAGATGGGATCCAACAGGAAACACCTAGGAGCCGCAATCGCAAGGCTCGATCGGTTTCAAATGGTAAACATAACACGACCCCTCAGGTCGTCAACAACCCCCCAAAACCCAACACTAGGTTTGACGCAACTGTTATTGCTTCTACCAGCACCGTTGACGAATGGGTAAAGGTTGTAAGGAAGAAAAGTATTGATATAAAAGGGAAACCTGCCCCCGTAAAAGTGGTTGAAAAATCGAAAGCTGATCATAGCGACAGATCAGCTATTTTTCATAGAATTAAGGAGAGCGATAGCTCTGAACCTAAAGCTCGTTTTGAGCATGACATTGTACTGATTAGGCAGCTGCTTAATCAACTCATGCCTCAAAATATGACTGGGGTCACCTTGCTAAAGGTGTACAGACTAGGGAGTCTAACGGACTCGAAACCAAATCATTCCAGACTGCTTAAAGTAGTATTCGGCTCTTCAAACGAACGTGACCTAATTTTACAAAATGGACACAAATTAAAGGGTTCAGGAGTCTTTATCCGAAAGGACCTACCGTTGGCAGACCGTGTTAAAAGACGGGAAGCCGAGAAAGAACGACAACATAGGTTAGACGCTGGCGAAAAGGACCTGAAAATTGTAAATTTTCGGGTTGTAAGACTTCGACAGAGAATGATGCCGAAACCACTCTGGGTGAAGCACGAAGGCACTTAAACAGGCTTCGGATCTGTTACACCAATGCACGAAGCTTACTTAATAAGCGATCGGAACTAGGTGTACAGATTGACTCTACAAAGCCAGATATAATCGCAGTAACAGAAACCTGGCTGACACAGGCTATAGATAGTATAGAACTTGATTTCGAGGGCTTTACGTTAGTAAGGGCCGACAGAACACAAAAGCGCAAAGGAGGGGGAGTAGCCCTATTCATTAGGAATGCTATCCCATTTACCATTATCGATAGTGTATCCCATGAGAGTGGGACGTGTGAATTAGTTAGTCTTCGCTTAAAATGCAAGGGACAAGAGCTGCTGATTGGTTTGGTTTATCGCAGTCCAAGCTGTGAGGCAAATGAGATCCTGTTAAGCAGTCTCAATACTTAGTCCCAAAGTGGTCGATGTCTAATCCTAGGGGACTTTAATGCATCTATGGTAGACTGGGAAAATCTGCGAACTAAATCGTCGGAGAATTCTTTCGAGCAGGAACTAGTTGATGGGGTTATCACATGTGCTCTAGTGCAACATGTGAAAGAAGCGACAAGGTACGATCCGGACACTGAATCATCCTTATTAGATCTTATACTGACTCAGTATGAGGATGATGTTGCGAACCTCCACCATATGCCACCCTTAGGTAAAAGTGACCACGCAGTTTTAACTTTTGACTTCCATATAACTGCCAGTCATGAGGACGCGTCAGTCCAGTCCAGACCCAACGTCTGGAAAGCAGACATACCAGACATCATGCACTCAGCATCGTTAATAGATTGGACAATAGACCCAGAGTCCTCCATTGAAACGGCCTGGGACGCATTTCGAAAATCATACTTAAAAGTTACCACACCTCACATCCCTTGGACTATACCAAAGGGGCCGAAAAACTCACCACCATGGTTCAGTAGGGAGGTCCATATCCTTCTCCGTAAAAAAAGGAAAACGTGGGATAGATTTAGGTTACTGGGGACTGATGAGTCAAAATCTCAGTATCGAAAGGCTCGGAACACTTGTGCCTCGACCCTCCGTAAGTCTAGAAAATTGTACGAAGAAAAACTTGTTAAGGAATCCATAGAATGTCCTAAACGCTTGTACTCCTATATAAACCAAAGGACAAGGAGAAAAGGAAATATTCCTGCTCTATGGGGAGACAGTACTGCTTCGTCATTAGTGGAGGACGACTTTGGTAAGGCTCAAGCGTTCTCGAACTACTTTAGCAACGTGTATACCATAGAAGCGCCCTTCTCGTCAGCGTATACAGATCCCCCCATACATACACTGGATAGCGTGACCATTAAAGAACTCGATGTCTTTGGTCTGCTAAATAAGCTTGACATAAGTAAATCCACGGGGCCCGATGAATTACATCCTAGGCTACTGAAGGAATTATCTAACTTCGTTGCGAACCCTTTAAGTACATGCTTTAACCTATCCGTTACGCAGGGTCGCTTACCGAAAGATTGGAAAAACGCCATAGTAAGTCCTGTCTTCAAAACAGGCACGAAACACAAACCTGAGAACTACCGCCCCGTTAGCCTAACTAGTGTGGTTGTTAAAATATTAGAAAAGATTATTCGGAAGGAGCTGTTTAAGTATCTCGATAAAAACCGGATCCTCTCGGAGAAGCAGCATGGCTTCAGAATAGGTTATTCTTGTCTCACTAACTTATTAGTGGCTCGTGAAAGCTGGTGTGCTCTTAAGGACCAAAAGCTACCTGTAGACGTCGCCTTCATTGATTTCAGTAAAGCTTTTGATAAAGTTCCGCACAACCGGCTGTTATATAAGTTAAGACATGTCGGGATTGGAGGTAATTTATTGATGTGGATAAAAGACTTCTTAGTTGGGCGTCAACAAAGAGTAAGGGTGAACTCCAAGTTGTCTAGCTGGGAAACCGTGCTTAGTGGAGTCCCCCAGGGTACAGTTTTGGGGCCAGTGCTATTCCTCTTGTATGTAAATGACCTTCCTTGTCTCCTATCATCATCGGTCTTGCTATATGCTGACGATGTCAAGATATGGAGAACGATACGATGTAAGAGTGATAGCTTAGAACTTCAAAATGACCTGAAGAAGTTATCTGAATGGTCTCAAACATGGCAGTTGCCGATAAATACTTCCAAGTGTGTTGTGATGCATATCGGTCATCAAGGCACAGATACATACACGATGGATAACACTGAGCTACCTGTCGTCCAGACATATAATGACTTAGGAGTTATCGTTAGTCAAGACTTAAAGACTACTGCACACTGCCGTGCAATAGCCGCCAAAAGTTTTAGAACGTTATGGTCAATACGTAGGGCTTTTAGTCATGTCGACGCTAAGACGTTTTTGACTTTGTATACAGTGTTCGTTCGCCCTAAACTTGAGTACTGCATACAAGCGGCTAGCCCCTGCTTTAAAAAAGACAGTGAGCTTCTGGAAAAGGTTCAGAGAACGGCGACTAAGCCGGTTCCTGGAATAGCGAAGCTTCCGTATGAATCTCGACTGGCCAAGCTGAACCTTTTCCCGTTGTCATATCGCAGAACTAGAGGCGACTTGATTACAGTCTACAAATTGCTTAGTGATAAATTTGCACCTAACATGCCCTCATTTTTCTTGTCTTCCAAAACAGAGAATTTGCGAGGACACTCCAAAAAAGTTCATAAGCCGAGAACAAATTACTTGTCAGCTGACTATCGACTTTCCCATCGAATCATCAACGAGTGGAATTCACTACCTCAGCACGTGGTTGAGGCTCCATCCGTCGACTCTTTCAAAAGAAAGTTGGATCAACTGAGAGACCACCATTGCCAGGACTAACATAGGCCAT